TTCGTAAAATCTACAACCAGAAAGTTCCAAAATAAAATTTTTGACTTTATACATAAAATTATTGTAGATCTACTGTGACTTTTTATTGATTAGAAGAAAAAAACAGTTTAAAAACTATTGCTACTATATTCTCGCTTCCCGTCGCTTGTCCTCTCTCCATATATCCCTATCACATGTGCTTGATCTCTTGAGCCTCTCCCCACCATGTTTTTCCTCTTCCTCTTTCCAAACTCCGTTAAATTTTCATTGAACTGTTGACAATGTGGCATGTGGTACCATACTGTTAACAATATTTAACAATCAAAATATTTGGGAGAGAAAAAACTAAGGCATAGTCGTCTTCTTCTCCTCTACTAAACCCTAGTAGTGCTATTGGGTCCTAAAGCTTCTTGCGTCATGTTTGATTGGTAGTAATAGTTTTTTTTTTTTATTAAACTATAAAAATAAAATAAATTTAAGGACTTCTTTAAAAAGTTTAGGATAGCTAAGGTTTTTTTTTTCTGTTTTTTTTGGCTAACAAGAATAATTAAAGTTTAATATTGGTAAATTTTTACTAAATTAAAAGATAACGAAGAATATATATTTTTATATTTTTAATGAATATATTTTCTTAGATTATTTGTTAATATAAAAAGTTTAAATATTTAAGGTCTAAATATTACTAACTTCTTATAAAAGCTTCTCAGTTTAACTTATTTTTATAATTTAATCAAGTAACAAGCATTACCACCAAATAAATAAAAAAACTCAAGTATAACTCACCATATAAAAGGAACGATGTCTCCAATATTTTCATTTAAAATATATAAAATTTTGTGGATTAATTTTATTTAATTAATTAATATTAATATTTTACATCTTTTTAATGTTTTGCATTCGAAAAGGTGGGGTTCTCTCTCACTTTTAAGGTGTTTACCTCATACTCAATAAGATTAAATTACGCAATTTGACGTAATCCAAATTCAGAACTCTTTTTTATTTTTTATTTTTGTATAAATTCATGACCCCATGTTGTGTGCCAAACTACCAAAACTACCAAACACCAACAAAACTCATTTTTCTCTTTTCAGCCAGGGATTGGGTAGTTGTAGGTCCGTCCTCTCTCTTAAAATTTCAAATTGCTGTTAATTTTCCGTTAATAATTGGCGCCACCATTGGTCCATGTCCATACTTTTTTCCAAACAAAACTACAAAATAAGAATACAGAAAAAAAGGAAAGTAAAAAAAAAAAGGAAAAAGGAAAAAAAGAGAGAACCTAATATATTGCAACAGAGTCACTTCTCTTTCAATCTCCATCCACAAAGATTTCTTTTCAGTTCCCTTAAACTGCCGTTTTTTTATTTTTTTTTTTCTTCCTTTCTCGCAATACAAACAACAAATCCTCCAAAAACCCACAAAACCCATTTTACTATTTTCTCCATTTTCCCTCTTTCCACTTGAAAATCCGAGCTGTTTTGGAACACTGCTCGTCCTTTCCTTTTCTATGATTCCGTGTGGTTTTCCTTTCCTCCAAACACTGTCTTAGCGCACTCTAGTATAGTTTCACAGAGGTGCATGTTAGCACCCCATGCGTACTGCAATTTAGCTTGTGCATATTTAAAAGGTAAGGGAAAGAAAAAAGGGTTAGTATCGGAAAGCTTGCCGGGAGACTTTCTGTGGCTTTGTCGGAGTGGTTACCCACAAAAACACCTTTTTTAAATTCCAAAAGCTAAGAACAGTGGAAATTCCCAGTACCAACCAAAAAAAAGGCCTAAAAAAACAAGAATTTGTAAGAAAATTGTATTGAACAGTTTTAGATTTTGGCTCTTTTATTTTTTACCAAATTCTTTTATGGGTTTTATAATGGGTTTTTCGCTCATTTTCTGATTACAGAGAGAGAGAGGAAGAAAAAAAAAAAGAGTGGAAAAAGAGTAAAAAAGTTTCTGTGTTTCAAAATCAAAATCTCAAATTTCTGATCTTTCTTAAACTGTACATTTTTTCCTCAGTCAATAGTAATCTGAAGGAAAGCTTTTGTTTCTTCTTCTGCTTGATGCTGTCTTTTTGATGTCTAAGCCAGTCGAGCATGATTACATAGGTTTATCAGAGCTTACCTCAGTTGAAAAATGCTCTGATAGAAACAACAGCAAGAAGGATGGCTTACACTTAAAAGCTACCGAGTTGAGACTCGGGTTGCCCGGGTCAGAGTCACCGGAGAGGGAGGATCATGACCCTGGTGTTCTTTCATTAAAGGGGTTTGTGTCAGGGGCCAAAAGGGGATTTTCTGACGCTCTTGATAGAGGTGGGAAGTGGGTTTTCTCTAGAGGTGGTGCAGGTGGATCTGAGGGGTTGTTTTCTCCAAGAAGCAGCGGTAATGGAGGGAAGGGTCTTGCCGGGTCGGATGCAGGTCTGGGTAGTCCGGTTGTGAAAGATGGAGGGTTGCAGAAGCAGGCGGTGGTCTTGCAGGAGAAGAAGCCACAGGTTGCTGCTGGTGGTGGCCATAGGAATGAGATTTCTCCTGCTTCTAAGTAAACTTCTTCACCTTCATCTTTTTCGGGTTTCTTTTTATTTATTTATTTAGTTTGAGTGGGTTGTGGAAGAAAAGAAATCCTTTAGAGGGGTTTGGAACTTCGTTTCCACCAAAAATTTCCTTTTTTTGTTATTGGTTCATTTATTTGGTTGGGTTTTCTGGGTCTTCACTCTTCATAGTTCATATTCTATACAATGATTGTGTTTTTCTTTAAGAAATAACCATGATTCAAGTTATAACTTTTGTTGTCTTGGATCCATAGCCATATGGGTGGAGGAAAATAAAAAAGAGAAGGAAAATAATTCAATATTCATATAAAAAGAAATCTGTTTTTTGGTTTTTTTCTGCATAAACAACTTAGTTGCTTCATATGCTTCTTCTTTGCGTTTGCTTCTTACAAGTAATTTCAAATGTGATGCGTGCAGTTTTGATGTATGAAGATTCATGTTTCTACCATGTCTCACAAGTTCAAAATTGTTTCTCTAGCGATTTTGATAGAGAAATTCTATTTCTTAGTTCACTACACAACTTTTGGTTGATTAATTATGCAGCCAAGTTGATGGTTCTTGTGTTCAACAGGGCACAGGTGGTTGGATGGCCACCAATTCGTTCTTTCCGGAAGAATTCAATGGCCTCGCATCCCCCAAAGAACGATGATGATAATGATGCAGAAACTAAGATGGGATCAGGGTGTCTGTATGTCAAGGTTAGCATGGATGGTGCGCCCTACCTCAGAAAAGTTGATCTGAAGACCTATGGAAGCTATACCGAACTCTCCTCTGCACTCGAAAAGATGTTCAGCTGCTTCACAATTGGTAATCCTCGTTTCTCACCCTCCCTGTGCTTTGTCTTCCATTCTCTGCTTATTCATGCATGCTGATCTAACATGCCAAATGAACTCAAGCACCCACAAAACACATAATTGACTTTGTCCTGCAATTTTTGTCCTCTGTTTTTCACCCATTTCCTTCCTTTTTGTTGTTTTTCTAGAAATGAGAAGTAGAGAGGGGAAGGGGGTGGATGCATTTGGGAGGGAAGGGGTAACTGGGTTAGAGTGGAGAGTTGACTATTTCCTTTTGAAAATGAAAAATGAAAGTCAAAATTGTTTGGCTTGTGTTAGAAGTCTCATGGTTTCAAAATCAGGAAATTGTCTTTCACATAGCATTTAAAAAGACTAGAGAGTATCGTCACCCATATTATGTTTACAATTGATTGGTTCAGGTCAGTATGGTTCTCATGGAGTTCCCAGCAGAGATGGGTTGAGTGAAAGTCGATTAATGGATCTTCTGCATGGTTCCGAGTATGTACTCACGTATGAAGACAAAGATGGTGACTGGATGCTGGTTGGTGATGTGCCATGGGAGTAAGTTCTATCCACAACACAATACTTAATTTCACTGGAGCTGATAAATTTTGAGAGGAAAATATCTATTGATTCTATTAATTCTATAAAAGCATCTTGAGCTAAGTGAGTTAATAAACAGAACAAAGATTCCATGATTTAAAAAAGAGCTGCCATATCTTGGCACTACTTTTATTCTCTCAGCAAACTACTTTAATCAAATTAGCATGTGGACTAAAAATTTTCTTTTATCCAATTCATTTTGTATTTTTATGCTAAAGATTGCAAAATATCAGAAGTCAAAGAATGTTCTTGCTCAGTTTCTTTCAACATTACTGTTGCTCACTATTGCAGAATGTTCACTAACTCCTGTAAGAGGTTGCGGATCATGAAAAGTTCCGATGCTATTGGCCTAGGTATGTGTTTTCTGAATAACACTTCTTCTATAACTCTGCATCTCATGGCAAACCTTAGCTCAAATGTTAAACAATGTGGCATCTCAGTTGGTCATTAGGGTTCGGAATTACTGTATTTTTCTACCTATTTTTCTGTCCACTTTTCCTTGAGCATTTGAATCTGCTGCATGACTAGTATTGGCCATATGATTACTAAAATAGTTTTGCTTCTTGTTTATGCAGCGCCGAGGGCCATGGAGAAGTGCAAAAATCGCAACTAGCACGATCAAGTGATGCATGTCCCTACTCTGGGGTCTTCTCATCCAATGCTCTAAGTTACTCTCTAAAGTTGAGTTTATTGTTATGTTTCTGAAACGTTCAAGGCTTTGTCTAGTAATATTTGCCATTATCACCCCCAACAAAAGAAAAAGACTTGGTAGCGTGCATGGAAAAAAATAAGAAAACAATGGCAGTTTGTAGTTGAGAGAATGTAATATCTTTAGACAGGTTCCAGGTTTTGCATAGGTTTGTCCTAGCCTCTATGTTTCTCTTTCATGTATCAGGAGGGCAATTGACTGCTTAAGCCTGCCTAGTTTACCATATGCTTGTAAAATGTTTGCCTTCTGTGAATTCTCTCTGAAAAACTTGTGAAATCTACAACTGAGCCGTTGAGGTTCATCTGATCTCTTGAAGCGTTACGTGAAAACTCATTGAAATCTATATAAAAAACCCCAACTATTTCCCAGAGAAGATTGGAATGCAAGGAAATATAGGGGGGACAGAACTGTGATCACACTAAAAATGAAGAAAAAAGATCAGAATCAGGTTTTAGGTCATCATATATACAGTACAGGTGGCAACAACTCACAAACTAGTCACCCGGCCCTCAACATACAGAGATTAATGGTAACAGTGATGCAGTGATGCTATGTAACAACACCCACAATTGGGTTTAAATTGAGATAACAGGAAGATTAATTATACAACATAGCGGTAGGTGACATAACGACCTGCAGTCTCACTAGGACGGATGATCTTCACGACCTGTCCGCGCTTGAGCCCATAGTATCTTGCAATTGGATCACTCACCTGGATACGAGGGAGCTGTACTCCAATTCATAACTAAAATATCAATACAGAAACCAAATATAGACATGCATAAAACTAAGACCCCAAATTCACTTCATGACAATGAAATTTCTTCAATTATTTTGCAGGTAGAAATAAAGCGTACAAGGCACAATCTATATGATAATTGATACAAGATTCAAGCCCTGCTCTTTAAAATGGCATCTCATATATATCAAGATTGAAATATTAGCAATTTCCTTATATGCCTTACTGGTTCTTTATTCACTCAGTACATGACAATATTTTTATATAGAGATATAATATCTAGGGATGCCATATCAGAAGCATGTCTTTAACAACCTGCAGTGCTCAAACTTTATACAACATTAACATCTTATCACTAATTCAGCTATAATTCAGCTAGCTAATTACCACATAAAGCTTCATTTGAAACTAAGCATTCATTGTTTTGTCATACCAACCAACCCAGAAGATACAAAAAAATCACATATTTCATTCCATTCTAGGACTCAAACCTGGAAATGCATTGATTCTAGAAAGCAAGATTCATGTAGATTTGACATCTTGACAATGATCTACTTAAGAATTGAGTAATAGCTCATGAGAACAACACATGCCCTAAGTGCAGCACAAACCAATGAAAGATCTAATATTTTGGAGGGCAACGAACATCCATGCATACTACTTTTAAAATTAGACGTTACAATAAACCTAGCATCTAAGATAATTAATGCCGACCTGTGTTTCCTTTACAGTATATCTTTGCACCAAAGTCTTTTTCTCTTCAGATGAAAGCACCCGATGCTCTGGAACGAGAACATGTTCTTTTATGTTGACTAGCAGCTCTGCCTCCTGAACAATTTTGGTTAAAAATAAAATAAGCATTGAGAAAAGCTAATAATGTGTTATCAGGAGATAATCAACATTAAACCACAGACTGAAAAGAAACATGCAAAACTCTTCAACTATGTTTTCAATTAATTTTGTACCATAAATAGGACTATGGAAGGCCTATCAATATTAAATGGAGAACACTAATACAGTATCAAGGGTTTGAATGAGATGAAAAAATGATTTCATTGTGTTACTATTGGGACTATATATACAAAAATGATATAGCTACAATGTCATGTGGTATTGTAAGCTTACAACATGATGTGTCGTATATCATTTGCCCTTTTCATTTAGGGTTCCACCTGTAATATTGTATGCATTCACACATTTAGTGACACATGACACTCATTTAATGACATGTCATGATTGTAAACTTACAATTCTACGTGGCATTGTAACTATAGCATTACCAATATATACACTGCTATACATGGTCTAATATCTGCAAATGCAAACAGAATCTACTGGACAATTACAGTACACAAATCATACCAAGGATTCTTATTAAATGGAGAATTGCTGAAAGCATTCAACCTTGATCCTTTACTTAATCATCAAGTGTTGCCATTGACAATTTCTTTGCCCAATCAACCATCGACTAAAGAAGTAGATAACACGGCCAGATAACTAATCCCTTATTTGATATTTTGATTCAAGAATAAGCAACTAAATGTAAAATCTTCCAATAATAAAAAGAGGGAGAGAGAGAGAGAGAGAAGTTAAAAAAATTTCCTTCAAAACTCTGATGGTCTTCAAATTTCAACATTATATCTCAAAAGAACCAGGAATGCAGTCTTTCCAATTCAGTCTAAATGGGAATTTGTTAAAAGAATAACACACCAAGAAGATCATCAGAATAGAGTCACTAAAAGCATATTCTTGATTGCAAAAAAAGTGTATAAGCATGTAAAATTTCGTAGTTCTGATATTGTTAAAGAAAGTAGCAAGTTGACCTGGAAAACATCCAATTGAAATTTTGTAGATATTTCATTTATACATGTCCGAGCAAAGGGTGTCAAATTCTGTTGCACAACTAATATTGCTCTGAAGACATTCTCAGATTTCATGCGGTTAGTATACGTCTTCATCGTCTTCACACCAACCTTTGCCTCTTCTGGAAAGAAAACATAGATCTGGTAGAGAAAATAAGCCAATGACCATTAATTGAACAGACACCAGAAACAGAGAGCTAAATAGGATTTTTTTTTTCTTTTGTTAAAAACAGGATACCTGATCAGAGCTATCATTTCGCTTAGCTTTATTAATAACCAGATCCTCCCTTTTCATGTTCTCACCATATTTAGAAATGAACTGTGACATGGTCATGTTTATTTCAAAGTCTCCAACAAAATACCCCCTATCCTTTAGCATCTGCATCACTGTTTTGCGGATTCGCAAAAGCCTCTTGATTTCAGCCTCTGATAAAACCATCTTTACTTCCCAGGTAAAGTTTCAGAAATCCCCAGTCTGAACATAGGACTAATTGATAGTTAAAAATAAGCAACAAAATTTAAGTCTTCCGGCATCAACAGAATCAAGACAGGGATTCCAAAATCCTCTTCTGATACAAAGAAAGAATTAAAAAAAAAAAAAAAAAACTCATGCCCCTTTTGCTTATTTAGATTAAAAAGAAACTTGCATAAGTTCTATGATACTTAAAGGTGAGACTAAGTTCAATTACTGACATGAAACCGAAATCGTCGTTCACTATAACCAGAAAATTCAGCAAACAAAGTAACTTTAGTCTCCTAACCTCCTGAGTAAACTCACTCACTCAGAAAAAATAAAATAAAAAATACTATAACCAAGGCAGGTTTCGGCGGGCATCACACATCCCAAGCACGAAACTTTATGAGAAAATTTTCAGCCTTAAAAACAAACAAAACCCAATACACTAGAATTGAAGAAGAGTAAGGTAGAAAGACTACCCAGAAAGTGTAGGAGAAACCCTAGGAAAGTGAGAATCCTTTCTCAATCTTTGGAAGTCCTCAAAGTTCAAACAGTGACAAACCAATGGAACCTTTCGCTCTGCCCCTCCTATTGAATTGATGAAGGAGCAATTATTCCACATTGACGGAAATTGCCCTTCAATTTCCCTTCTCTAAAAAGAAACAAATTATATACATTTTTTTTTGGACAGTTTTAACAATCTTCCAATAATCTATAGGCACACCCTCAACATCAATTCCATATTTTGTTAATACTAAGAAATTAAGCTTAAAAATTTGAGAAATGATTTTGGGATAATAAAAATTATATAAAAAATTAATATAAAAAAATTATTCGTTTAGCATCATCCTAAAAATTTATTACTTATTAATGTCTTGCTATCCTATTTTACAGAACGTCGCATAACAAAACAGATAGTAAAATAGTTTTTTTATTAATATATATACTTTAAGGTTAGAAAGTTTTATAATTTTTCCCACTTTAAATTGCATATTAAAGGTATACTTTTTATGCATTTAAACCTTTAAAACAACTGACAATTTATTAATTTAAAGTGCATTTTCTTTTTTTATTGACGGATTTTGAGCTCGTTCCTTTACAACTTGCTCAAAAAAAATAAATAAATGTATGCTTTTGATACAAAATTATTAAATTATCATTCATAAATAAATATTAAAAAAAATTTATTAAGGATTTATATTTTTGGGGAAAATTAGAAAACACTTTTTTGACAACCTTATTACTTTTGGAGTACCACTAAAGTCGAAAAATTTTTTAGAAGAGAAAACCCATAAATTTAACTAAAGCAATTGGGCATATCCTATTCGCCTCAGGCTTACTAGGGTTTATGCTTCTGGGCGAAAATTAGAAACTTTGGGTGTGGTTGGTCGGAGGATTCTCGGTTGCCGGAGGAAGAGATGAAGCTGAAGCAATTGGAAAGCCTCTTAGGTGATCTTCAACAGTTCTCGAACCCAAAGGTCTCTCCTTTTTCCTTCCTTTCCTTCTCTCATTTCGTGTCACACACAGGTAGAGTTCGGAGAGCTTGTTGAATTGAATCGATTGCTGTTTGTTTGTGTATTATTGCAGGTGGAGCTGGAACAATACCCAACTGGACCTCACATTGCTTCTCGCATGCTCTACACTGTATCCAACTCTCACTCTCTTCTCCTTCATTTTTCTGCAGAAATTCCTTGACTTTATTTTATCCCATTCTTGTTCTCTCTTTGCTTCAGTCATTACTTCTTTCTATTTTTTTCTTTATTTGATTATATGGGTCTTGCTCATATTTGAATTAGTTGCTTGGAAAATCATTAGTATTTGTTCCTAGATTTTCTGTGCA